CTGGGCTGCTGCGCCGCCTCGGCCGCACCGCCACCCCTAGCTGCCTTCTGGTAGCGCGAGTACTGCTCCTTGTCCACGGGCTTGGCCAGCGTGACCTCCAGGCACGAGCCCTCCAGCTCAGTGCCGTTGAGGTTGTTCATGGCGTGCACGGCATCCTCGCGGCTGGTGAAGTGCACGAAGGCGTAGTCGCGGATCTTCTTGACGCGCTCCACGCAGCCAGGGTTGAACTGGCCGAAGCTCTTCTTGATGGTGTCCTCTGTGGTCTCGATCATGAGGTTGCGCACGTAGAGGATCTTCACCGTCTCCATCACGTCCTCGTCCACATCGATCTCGGGCTCGGCCCAGTCCACGGCGATCTGGTGGCCCCACAGCTGGATGCGGCCGGGCATGAGCTTGCGGCGAGCCATGGCAGCCGCGCGGTGGCTCTCGTACTCCACGAAGGCGAAGCCACGGTTCTTCATCTTGTCTGCCGCGCTGGCGTAGACGATCACGTCCAGCACGCCCTCGGTGACCTTGGCGATCTCCTCCAGGATCTCCTCGCGCTTCTTCATCTTGGGGATCCCGCCGATGAAGAGGCGGCAGTTGTCTACGCTGCAGCACACGCCTAGCAGGCGACCCGGGCGGATCTCGTAGTTGTTGAGCTCGCGCACTGCGCGCTTGGCCTCGTGCTTGTGGCAGTACATGACGAAGGCGTAGCCGCGGTTCTTGCCGTCGAAGTCCATCATGAGGCGCAGCTCGTAGATGCGGCCCACAGCCTCGAACACGGGCACCAGTTCGTCCTCGTACACATCGCGCGGGATCTTGCCCACGAAGACCTCGCAGCCGCGCTGCGGGTGCGGGCCCTCCCAGCCCGGCGGTGGGCCGCCGTACTTGCGCTGCCCGTTCTCCTGCACCATGCTGTAGCCCGTGCGCTCCATCAGCGCCAGCAGTGCCGCCTCGTTGGGCGCGCCTGCCACGCCCTCGGGCACCTTGGCCGAGGACCCGGCGGCCGAGTCACTGCTCATGGCTGCGGTGGAATCCTCTGCGGTCATAATGTAAAAGGCATCCACAGCTGGCGGAAACCTGGAGAAGCAGAAAGGAGCGTGAGTGGGGAACCGCTGTATCTTGCCTCCTTTGGGTTGTTTCGCAGCCTTGCAAGTATGCATTAATAGGCCACGGGGAAGGTGAGGTGATTTAAATGAGAAATAGGATGGAGGTGTTCTGGAAATGCAGCAGCCCCACACTTGTCTAAAATAGTCAAGTTGTCTTGCATTAAGAACCAGAAGTGAGTTAGGAAAAAAAAAAAAAAAAAATCAGAATGAGCAAGTACTTCCATTTCATCAGTACCCCGATAGCTTTGAAGTTTTGCGAAACTGCTATCGTTGTTGGTAAAAACCTCACGTTCTTTTGCTTCATTCCTGCACCGTTAACTCCGCCTGATTTCCTTGTTATATGGAATTTGACAAACTTCACGTATTTCTTTGGTGAACAACCCTTTTTTCTTTTCTTTTTTAAGGGAGTCTTTTTCTTTGTAGGAATGGAAATACAGTGAAGATTTTAAATTATTAAAGAAAACTTTTAGGAGGTGTCACTGTATAGAGAGAGCTGTGTATTAAAGCTTTTTACAGGGAAGAAATGAAATGCGCACATTGCCACAGACTTGGTCTAGGAACTGTAATAAGAGCTAATCTGATTTTGATGGTGGCATTCAGGTAAAATTCTTGGTGTGAAGCATTCAAAGATTTGGAATCAGTCCTCGAAAAGCTAGACTGACTTCAAGCTGGAGGCCTGGGAAGCAGCATCTACCTGGTAAACCACACTATTGTTTTCGGAGAACTGTCACCTGCATTCTCTTAATCTTCTTAACCTCTGTATATGGTATGTGATATTATCTTCAGTCCCAATTTGGTCATGGGGAAATAGGCTGAGAGAGGTTGAGTAAATTGCCCCATTTCACACAGTAAGTGTCAGCTAGTAGGGCAGACTTGATTCCAAGTTTTCTGGCTCCAGATTCCCTGTTTTTTCTTCCAAACCCATACTGGGCAATGGAATTTTCTATGATGCTAGAAAAGCTGTCACTTGCCACATGTGGCTACTGAGCACTTGGAATGGAGCTAGTGTGACTGAGGAGCTGGATTTTAAATTTAATTAAACACCCACCTATCACAGTGCAGGTCTGAACTGTGCCACCTTCGCTTATATGGCCGAGGGCTCTGTGGAAATGATTCTAAATTATGCAATAAGATTATCATGAAGAGCTGCAGACTATACTTTTGTAATGAAAGGCTTCAACTTGCCTTTAAAAAATGAAATATATTTCATTTTTTGGACTATAAAAGCATTCAGTTGAATTTTATAGAAAGTTAAGAAAAGTACATAAGAAATTAGTCCTAATTTTCCAACCCAATAATAGCACAATGAAACTTTCCCATCTGTTTTCCAGATGTTTTCTTGAGGAGGTGGGAGGGGGAAGCCTGGCTTCTTCCTAATTTACATGGTGCTACTTTATGTTATAAGCATTCCTCCATATTCTTAAAAATCTTTGTAAAAACATCATCTTTAATGGCTGTATAAGGTTTCATCAATTAATTAGAACCCGGAGTATCATTCATTTTTTTAAAATTTAGGACTAGGAGATGTATACAAGAATATTAAGGGAAATTTCAAGGATAATAAAAATGAATTTGATCATTGAAGGAAAAAACAAAACTATAATGAAACAAAATAAATCTAAGCTATTTATTTGCCAGATGGCCAAAATAGTCCTTCTGTGGTTAATTTGCTCTAGTATCAAGTGGCAGTATGGTTTAGCAGGTAAGTATGTGGCTTCTGGAGCCAGACTGCATATGTTTGTATATGAATCTCAGCTCCAATACTTGCTAGTGTTAGCTGCTCCATGCCTCACCTCAGTTTCCCTACCTATAAAATAGGAATGATAATAATAGTGTTGACCTCATTAAGTTTAGAGGAGTGAGTTAATACATACACAGCATTTTGAATGGTGCCTAGAACATTATAAATGCTCAAGAAATGTCAGTTATTATTTTTCATCCAAACTTTTCAGTAAAATCTTAGACCAATTCTTTCAATTTTAGAGTAATTCTTAAGATAAACATTTTCAGTTCTTTAAAAATATCTGTTACATGTGGCTTCTATTCTTATTATTTTTTTCCTCTTCAAGTGCTTGGAAGCTGGTTTGACACCTCCAGTTATCATGAAATTTTTTTGTAGTATACTTGGAAAACGATACATTAGTTTCTGTAGTTTCAAGTTGAAAAAGTTTTTTTTTTTCTTTTTTTAAAAATAGAGATGGAGGGCCAGGCGCAGTGGCTTGTGCCTGTAATTCCAGCTCTTAGGGAGGCAGAGGTGGGAGGATTACTTGAGCCCAGGAGTTCGAAACCTGCCTGGGAAATATAGAAAGACCTTGTTTTCCACAAAAAAAGGAACCAAAAAAAAAAAAAGAAAAGAAAAAAAGAAAAAAGATCCCAATTAAAATAGAGATGGAGTCTCACTATGTTACCCCAGCTAGTCTCAAACTCCTGGGTTCAAGCAATCCTCCTGCCTGGCCTCCCAAAGTGCTAGGATTACAGGCATGAGCCACTGCACCCAACCAAGAAATTTCAACATTAAATTCGAACATGAAGACCTTTCCCTTCTTCCAAATGGAAGATAAGGATATATTTTTAAGAAGACTATTTGTATAAACACCCATGTAGTTACAATCTGTGACCTGGGCAGGAAATGCCAGCTATGTATATAAATACATAGGACACAATTCAAGCTCTTACCTGTTGTACTGTATACAACATTAACTGACTAAAGTCCAAGGGAATAGAACTTATCTCTCTGCTGAGATAGGTGGAGTTGCCTTCCTGTCACCCCAACTGCACTTTGAAACTACTATTCTACCCACAAAAACAGTCTTCCAGTAGTCAGGCTATGGAGTCATTGCCAATCCCAACCCCAATAATACAAAAAAAAATCCTGTTTGCTTTCAGTCTGAAATCTGCTGGTGTCAGTAACACAATTATCTCTACATATTTTAAAATAGCGATAGCTTATTTCTTACATCAATGAGCCAAGAAAAGCCTTTTTTTTCCTGTGCTTTCATCTTCTGTAGTAAACAAACCATGTTAGCGACCCTGTTTTTATTTTTACTTTGGCCACCAGGAAGTTCACGATTGATTTCTTTTCACTCCAATTTTAGTAACTGTAGGGGACATTACAACACACTTTCTTGTTCATCTAATTTGGGTTATAGTTTCATTTTTTAGTTTTCTTCTATTTTTTCAGTTTTCCCAGTGACATGAATTGAGCTGTTTGTATTATTTATCTTATTGTTCACATGTTCTTATAAACCATGTTGTAATTTTGGAGGAAAAGAATCAATGCATACATACATGCATATATATCTAATAAGAGCCAGACATTGATTAATGTAATATCCAAATTTGCTATGTCTATTACACCAACTACTAGTATTGCATACAAACAAGTAAGAACCACAGTGACATACTACTTCACACTCATTAGGATAGTTATTATAAAAACAACAAAAACTAGGAAATAAGCATTGGCAAGGACGTGGAGAAACTGAAACCCTCATGCAATGCTGGTAGGAATATAAAATGGTACACCTGCTGTAAAAAACCAGTATGATGGTCCCTCAAAAAATTAAACATAGAATTACCATTTGATCCAGCAATGCCACTTCTAGGTATATACCCAAAACACTCAAATTGATACTCGTATAATAGCAACAGTATTTATAGTTGCCAAAAGATGGAAGCAACCCAAATGTTGATCAATGGATTATGATAAACAGAATGTGGTATACGTATACAATGCAGTATTATTAAGCCTTTTTTCTTTTTCTTTTTTTTCAGACAGAGTCTCACTCTGTCACCAGGCTGCCATTCAGTGGGTGCAGTCTCCACTCACTGCAGCCTCCACCTCTCAGGTTCAAACAATTCTTTCACCTCAGCCTCCCAAGTAACTGGGACTACAGGTGCACACCACCATGCCCGGCTAATTTTTGTATTTTTAGTACAGATGGGGTTTCACCATGTTGGCCAGGCTGGTCTTGAACTCCTGACCTCAGGTGCTCCACCCACCTCGGCCTCCCAAAGTGCTGGGATTACAGGTGTGAGCCACTGTGCTTGGCTTATTCAGCCTTGAATAAAATTCTGATATGTGCTACAATATGGAAGAACCCTGAAGACATTATGCTAATGGTGAAATAAGCCAGACACAAAAGGATAAATATTATATGACTCCACTTATATAAGGTACCTAGAGTAGTCAAGTTCATAGACAGAAAGTAGACTAGTGGTTACCATGGACTGGAGAAAGGGAGGAGTGGGGAATTAGTGCTTCATGGGTGTGGGTGTTTTAATTAGGGATAACAAAGGTCTGGAGATGGATGGTGGTGATGGCAGCACAATAGTGTGAATATACTTCATGCCACTGAACCATACACTTAAAAATGGTAAAATGTTATGTATAACATACCACAGTAAAAACAAAATCCTTTAAAAAAGCAAGAAGGTTCAGAGATGCAAAAAAGACAAAAATTAGAGTAGATAAAATCAGGATTTCATTAGAGGCCATTTAAAAAATGGTACACGGGGCTGGGCGCGGTGCCTTACGCCTATAATCCCAGCACTTTGGGAGGCTGAGGCAGGCAGATCACCTGAGGTCAGGAGTTCGAGACCAGGCTTACCAACATGGAGAAACTCCATCTCTAATAAAAATATAAAATTAGCTGGGCATGGTGGCACATGCCTGTAATCTCAGCTACTCGGGAGGCTGAGGCAGGAGAATCCCTTGAACCTGGGAGGCAGAGGTTGTGGTGAGCAGAGATGGCACCATTGCACTCCAGCCTGGGCAACAAGAGTGAAACTCCGTCTCAAAAAAAAAAAAAAAGGTACCCTGACCCAGGTTAACACATTCAAGAAAATCTTATGGCCTACAAGTTTTATTCTCCTTATTATCATGTTTAATATACCATATTAAATACATTATATGGTGTGCTGCTCTACTCAATGAATTCAGATGCCAAACGCTTAGATATATTAAAGGAT